TTTGTTTGTATAAGTCTTTGGTTTCTCTGGTAAAATTTATTCCTAGATATTTTATCTTTCAGGTAGTTATTGTAAATAGTACTGTTTTTTCCATTTCCTTTTTCATGTCATCTTATTTAATATACAAGAATCCAAATATTTCTACATGTTGATCTTATAGCCTGCTACATTGCCACATTTTTCAACTAGTTTCAGCAATTTAAATAGAAATTTTTGGGTTTTCTATATATAGGATTATATGACCTGCAAATAGAATATCGTTTCTTCTGAGCCAATGTGGATGCCTTTAATACCTTTTTGATGTCCTATAGTGCCCACAGAATTTTAAGATACCAGTCACAAAGCAGATAATTTCAATGACAGTTTTTACAAAACGGTGCTTTGTTTGGACCCTAGCTAGACTTTTTCAAAAGCATCCTCCATTAAGTTATTTGATGCAGGAGTTCTAGATTTCTGCAACTATTATTTACAGAGAATTGTTGCTTCGTGAGATGAAAGAGGAAGCAGTGCCTTTTGGTTGATCTTAGGAGAAAGTAACTTTCCATGGCTTAAACTTTCAAATTGATATTGGCACAGGTGTTTATGTAAATAGTTAGGGGTAAAATGTAGACCAGCGAGATGGAGGCACACAGAGAAGAAAAAAATGTAAGCTGTATAAGTCTTTACTGTATCTTAGGGTTTTGATTCTTGAAAATAAAATGCTGTGAAAAAGAGAAAGAAGTCTCTCTTTAAAAAGGAAAAAGGGCTTATCTGTCCTGGATTCCCTGTGTTTGGAGCTCTTATCTGTACCACTGTACATGTTCTGGTCTAGCCAGATTGGTAAGATAGAATTGGGGTCATGGTGGGGGGAGGGGAGAGAGGAAATATTAAAAAACTTGAGGAAGGTTGTGTGTTTCATCCATCCTATTCTGCACCCTGACTGGCTCTTTTCTTCCTTGTGGCCCTTCTGACAGAGGGTGTCCAATTGACTACTGATGGGCTTTGGGTCTCCACTCTGCTCTCTCCCTCATTCCCACTGATATGCTTTTTGTTTGTTTTGTTCTGGGTCTTTGATGCCTGCTACCTGATCCCATCAACACATCATGATCACACAGGCTGGTGTGCTTCTTCCATGAGGGCTTTGTTACTTCTCAGCTAGATGGCCACTTGTTTATCTTCAAGCCTTTAAGACCCAGACGCTATATCTTTTGATAACCGGGCACCATCAGCTTTCTTCACTGCATTTGCTTCTGCACCCATTTTGTCTTCAGTGACAAAACACAGGGAATTCAGAACGAATAAACCCCTCAGGACCAATAAGGGGAGCAGTGATACCAGGAGGGTAAGGGGAGGGGGCATAGAATAAGGGGGAACCAATCATAATGATGGATGTATAGCCCCCTTCCCAGGGGGACAGACAGCAGAAAAGTGGGTGAAAAGAGACAGCAGTCAGCGTAAAACATGAAAAAAAAATGTATAAGTTATCAAGAGGGCACGGGGGAGGAAGGGGGTGAAATGAGGAACTGATGCCACGGGCTCAAGTAGAAAGAAAATGTTTTGGAAAAGATGATGACAACATATGTAAAGATGTGTTTGACAAAATGGATATATGTACGGATTGTGATAAGAGCCCCCAATAAAATAAAATTTAAATTAAAAAAAAGGAAGGAGAGAAAATATCAAATA